GACAACCATTCATAGAGAACGGGGCTGGATGACATGCACTGGGAAGGGAGAAGCAGGCAAAGCAATAGAGGGAGAAACATGCTGAAATTTTTGGACAGCTCCACCCGAGAATAGGAAGCTAAATAGACTCACTGTTTGGAGATGGTGCTGAAATTTCGGATAGCGCCTCACGGCTCGCGGCTCGCTAGAGGGAAACCGAAAGTAGTAAAGATGCTCTAGGCGCGCTGTCAAAGGCTGTCAAAATCAGCTGGCGGGTCCTTTGACAGCTGTCAACGAGCTGTCAGAACCCGGAAGTAGTGGGAAAAAGGGCTTCCCGTGGTGCTACGGGCACGAAACTTGGTGGGGGTCTCCAGGGGGGTCTCCTTGACCGCGTGCTCGATGTTTCTTTCGTCTGGGGGCCCCAGAAGAGGGCGGGTCGGCCGGACCTCCGGGCTGGGGGTCTTTCGGGGGAACCTTCCGAAACAAAAGCCGCAGATCCTCCACCGGCTCTACGGCCCACTGCTCGCCAGTCTCTTCTTCCTCAGAAGGCCCCACTTCTGGCTCTGGAGCCAATTTCAGCCGGGAATGATGAATCCAGGCACGGATGCCTTTGACTTTTGCAGCAGTGAGTTGTAAGGAGGATCTGGTGAGGTCCGACCCACTTCTCCGTCAATGCCTCCGGCTTGTATGTCCGCACGAGGACCCAATCCCCGATGGAGAAGTCGTGAACAGGAGCATCCAGAGGGACAGGAAGGCGGGAAAGCAGAAACCTATTTAAGGAGGAAAGGATAGAAGTAAGAAATGACAGCCTTTCTCTAATGCTCTCGGATCCCACCTCATGCAGGTGATCAGCTTTCAGAGGAACCTGAGAAGAAGGAAAAGGCCTTCCATAGAGGATTTCAAAGGGGTTTAGCTTTAATCCCCCCTGGGAGCTGCCCTAACCCGAGTGAGAGCAAGTGGAAGGGCATCTGGCCAGGGCAGGCTCGCCTGCTGGCAAATCTTAGCCAGCTGCCTCTTGATGGTCTGGTTCATCCTCTCGACTTTCCCGCTGGCCTCAGGGTGCCAGCTAGTATGTAAGTCCCACTTGATCTGGAGGGCCTGGGCGACCTGTTGAGTGACCTTGGAGATAAAAGATGCCCCGTTGTCTGAGGAAAGACACGCCGGAAGTCCAAAGCGAGGGATGATGTGGTTGAGGAGGGCATGGCTCACTTCCTTGGCCGCACAGGAGTAGTAGGGAAAAGCCTCTGGCCATCCACTGTAGCAGTCCACAAACACCAGCAGGTATTTATACTCCTTGCTGGATGGCAGTTCAGCAAAGTCCACCTGCCACACCTGTCCTGGTTGGAGGCCTGCCTTGAGATGCCCCACTTCTGGCCTCTTCTGGATCTTAGGGTTGTTCTTGAGGCACAGAAGACAACGCCGGCAGGCCCAGATGGACTGTTGGGCCATGCGGGGGCCAATGAAGAGAGTCCTGAGATGTTCCAGCATAGCGTCATGACCCCAATGGGTGCTCTTGTGGAGCCGTAGGGCCACTTCACGCATAAGGGGATCAGTCAGCAACAGACGGCCTTGGTCGTCCTTCCACCAGCCCTCTTCCCGTTTCAGACCCTCTCCCTTCGCAAACTCATCATCCAAAGTTCCATACACAGGGAGAGTGGTCACGGTGGTGTCTGGAATCAGGGCTCCTAGGAAGGTGGGCTCCTTGTTGGCCGCCCCCTTTGCTGCCGCGTCGGCTCTCCGATTCCCCTTAGCTGTGTCCTGGTCCCCAGTCTGGTGCCCTCTGCAGTGGATGACAGCTACTGCAGCAGGCTTACAAACAGCCTCCAAGAGTCTTAGGATTTCAGCCTGATGTTTGACAGGGCTGCCAGCTGTGGTCAGCAGTCCCCTCTCCTTCCAGATGGCTCCATGGGCGTGAAGCACATGGAAGGCAAACTTAGAGTCTGTGTAGATGTTGGCAGTCTTTCCCTCGGCCAGCTCCAAGGCTCTGGTGAGGGCGATGAGCTCCGCCTTCTGGGCAGAGGTGCCAGGGGGGAGGGGGTTGGCCTCTATGGTGTCCCATAGAGTGACCACAGCATACCCGGCTCTCCTCTCCCCCTGGTGGCAGCTGCTGCTGCTGTCTGTGAAGAACTCAAGTTCCGCATCTGGAAGGGGCTGATCTTTGAGGTCTGGGCGGCTGGAATAGACTTCCTCGATGGTGGCGATGCAGTTGTGGGGCTCCTGGTCATCTCCTTCGGCGAGGTCGATGGGCATCAGGGTGGCAGGGTTGAGGCAGTTGGTAGTAGACAGGGTGAGGTCTCCCTGGTCGATGAGGAGGGCCTGGTAGCGAGTGAGCCGGCCAGCAGAAAGCCAGTTGGTCCCCTTAGCATCCAAGACAGCCAGGACACTATGGGGAACATAGACGGTTGTTGGCTGGCCCAGGGTCAGCTTCCTGGCCTCTTCTGCTACCAAGGCGGTTGCAGCCACAGCCCTCAGACAGGCAGGCCATCCGAGGCTGGTGTTGTCCAGTCGCTTGGAGAAATAGGCCACAGGTCTCTTGGTGCTGCCAAAGGCTGGGTCAACACCCCCACTGCCACCCCCCTGGCGTTCATGCACAAAAAGGAAGAAGGGCTTGGCCATGTCAGGGAGTCCCAGGGCAGGAGCCGATATAAGGACTTTCTTAATGGCTTCAAAGGCATCTCTGGATTCAGCAGACCACACTAGGAATGTCTCTGGCCCTGATGCTGCCTCATACAGAGGCTTGGCAATGAGTCCAAAGTTTGGCAACCAAATTCGACAAAAGGAAGCCATGCCCAAAAAGCCCCTGAGCTGTTTCTTTGTCCTGGGCTCCTTGACCCTGCAGATGGCCTCCTTCCTCTCTGGTCCCAGTGCCCTCTGTCCCTGGCTGACATCGAACCCCAGGTACCTTACAGTGTCCTTGCAGATCTGGGCCTTCTTCTTGGATACCTTGAAGCCAGCTTCTCCCAGGAAGTTGAGAAGGCTGATGGTGAGGTGCTCACAGGTGTCCTGGTCCCCGCAGCAAAGGAGCAGGTCGTCAATATACTGCAGCAGGACTCCTTGGTCATGATCAGGCCATTTATCCAGTTCAGAGGCAAGGCTTTGACTGAAGATCGTCGGGGAGGACGTAAAGCCCTGCGGCAAAACTTGCCAGCAAAGCTGGACCCGCCTGGCAGTGCCCACATGCTCCCACTCGAAGGCAAAGCTCCTGGCTATCTTTATGTATAGGAATAGAGAAAAACGCATCTTTTAAGTCCAAAACAGTAAAGCAGGAGGAAGAAGAAGGGATAGTGGAAAGGAGAGTGTAAGGGTTAGGCACCACGGGGTGTAGGTCCACCACCACTGCATTGATGGCTCTAAGGTCTTGGACAAAATGGTATTCCACCGGACTACTATGGGGCTTACGGACCGGAAGGGCAGGAGAGTTGTAAGGAGAGGCACACTCTCTCAGCAGAGAGTGCTGCAGGAAGTTGTCGATGATGGGCTGGAGTCCCTGGCGTGCCTCCAGGGAGATCCTATACTGGGGGATCCTAGGAGGGGTGATGTCCGGTTTGAGTGGGATGACAACAGGTGCAATGTTCTTAGCCCACCCTGGGACCCCATCAGCCCATACTACGGGGTCCACCTGTTGTAGGATAGCCAAGGGAATTGGGTCAGCCTCTGAGCTGGGTTGATGGAGCAGGAAAGTCTGGGCCCTCCACCCTTCCTCCTCAGGTACGGCTAGGATGAATGCAACTTGGGCCCTGATCTTGCAAAGGATATCCCTGCCCAGCAGGGGGACAGGACACTCAGGCATATACAGGAACTCATGAGACAAGGCCTTCCCTCCCACCTCACATTCCATGGGCTTCATGAAAGACCGCTCTGCCTCTTTCCCTGAGACCCCCACTATCTGAGCCTTCCTGTTCCCCAACTCTGTCCCTTTAAACCCCTCTGTGAGCACTGAGTGGGTGGCCCCACAGTCCAGGAGAAAGTCAATGGTCCTCGTCCCAAATTTCAGTGGCACAATGGGGTCGGAGGGGGCCAGGGAAATCCTTTTTCCTAGTCACAAGACCCTCTCATGGGCTCCCCTTTCCCTCAACTCCGGGCATTCCCTTTTGAAGTGTCCCACCCTCTTGCACTGGAAACATTGAACCTCCTTCTGCCCTCCCTGTCTCCCCTGCCCCCGATCCATCCAGGCTGGTCTGTCCCTGTTGTCCCTGTAGCCCCTTTCCCTGTCCCTCTCAGCCAGGGCTGCCACCATGCAAGTGGCCTGAATCTCAGCCTGGGCCTTTTGGTCATCCTCTTCTTTCTGGACCGCAGCATCCTCCCGGTTATGGTACACCTTAAAGGCAATGTTGATTAGCTGAGAGATGGGCATCTCCTCCCCCCCCCCAGCTTCTGGAGCTTGAGCTTGATGTCCCTGGTGGCCTTTCCAATGAAAAGGGTGTTCAACATACGCTGGCTTTTGGGGTCTGTGGGGTCGATATTGGTCCAGTTCTTGGCCATGCGACAGATCTGGTCATAGAAGTCAGAAGGACTCTCGTCCGGGCCTTGCTGGATGTCAAGGAGCTTGGAGAGGTTCAAGGGGCGAGGGTATACCAGGGGTATGCCCACCAGGACATGGCGATGGAAGCTTTTGAGGGCCTGCCTGCCTGTCTCAGTGTTGAAATTCCACCCTGGATCCTCCTTTGTGGGAAAGACTA